TGATATTCTCTGTGCCCAAGAGACTGGGAGATCTTAACCTTGCTCTTTCAGTGTATGCGTGTTTAAGATGCATGCTGGGGCTTTTGAGCAGTGCAGGGAACAGGGGATGTGTGTCTGACATGGTGGAAGATGGAGGCAGAGGGATCATAGTTTGGGAATGGCTTCCTGCTTGCTTATTCTTACGATGCCTTTTGGCTTAACTGGAGGGATTGCTACCTTCTGAAGTGAGCAGAGGGGGAGATGAGAGTGCAGGCTGTGTCCTCTGAGAAGGGGCAATACTTCAACAAATGGCCTTCACCCTTTCTTGATTGTGTAAGATGAGCAGGGCAGCTGTGCTGTAGTTTCCAATATCAACCCATTCTACACATTGAAAGCTTTCTTATGTTGAATTCTTGTGGTCTGCCTGTAAAACTGTGTCACCTTGGGCAACATTCTAGTGAGTGAAGCAGCTTGGATGGAATTGGTCTGTGTAACAAGAAGAGTTGTCTAGGAGGAAGTAACTGCACCATTAAGGATGAAGATAAATAGATCAGTGGGGTTCACAGTTTTACATTGCAGTCATACGTGTTGAAAGAGAAAAATACCAGTGGAGAATGCACCATTTGATCAGTCTGTTTCCCAAACACGGTTCTTTTAAGAAGTATTATTTGAAAACCTCTACAGTCAGTAAATGAAAACAAAAAACAAACCCAAATTGATATCTTTTTATTTTCTTCTAATTGTCTGACTGCTTTGGGTAAAAGTAAATCTGTATCTGTTTTGGTCAGAATAAACGTTTCCAACTGGAGTGGGGACAAATGGAACATTTTGACCCATCCTAACAGCAGTGTCCCACTCAACTGTACGTGGTAGTTTGTAAGAATAATCTTTAAGAGTTCAGGCTATGAGAAACATCTGCTTTCCTGTACATCATGAAACACTGCAGCATTTGGAAATGGGGGATGTGTGCCATGCTTATCTCAGCCACCATAGAGCATGGGCTCCACGGTTTAGACTGTGGGATTTAAATTACGGTGTGGATATATTATGCAGTCCCACGTAATGCAATTTGGTGATGCCACAGTGATCTCTTTTCCTTAGTTGGAACTGCGCCACGTTTGCCGTGTGTGGCCAAACATCAAATGCATCTGAATAAGCAGAATAATCGTTTCCAGACTAAACAGATTTCAAATTTGTTTAAGATGTTGAGTGAGGTTAATGGCTGGGAGATGTCTCTTCTGTTCTGTTAAGGTACTGTGATGTGTCCCTGCCAATGTAGATCTCTGTTGAGGTCTAAAAGTTCCAAATCCTCTGGACTGTACTGAAGTATTGCTTCGAGTGCAGTAACTGTTGGTTGAAGGCATTCTGTCACATTCTGAGCATCTACAAGCATTAATAGTTATGTCTTTGCAGTGGCCTCTGGAGAAAAAGGTTATAACCATTATTGTTCTTTTTCAGATGGGAAAGCTGGATCATGAGTAGACAATCCTGATCTTTTTGACTTGGGGGAAGCTGATGGTGGAACCAGAGCAAAGCAGAGACTTGGCAATAGTTGAGCTCATTGCAAGGTCCTTGATTCTTTAGCAAAACCATTTGGTATTAATGATCAAGGAGAAAGTCATCCTGACAACGCACTCCTTGCTTGTTCTTGATTTCTGTGCCTTTTGCATTTAATACTCCAAATTGCCAACTCGGGAGCATCTGCAATTACAGTTTTGGAGCTGGAGCACATACGCACAGCACACACATTATGTGGGACCTTGCTCATTGTGTCTCATGATGGTATGTCTACACCAAAGCTATTGAGGATGCCTATGCTTGTAGGGTCTCTTGCAGATGTTCCGCGCTGACAGAGCTATACATCCTGGCCCAGAGATGTGATGCTTGGCACAAGCTCAGCTCACATTATGGAATGGGTACAGAAGTATGGCCTGCCCGCCTACATACATGCTTTTTTGCTAATTTGACTGTTTTCTTGCTGGCTACGTTTCTGGTGGTTCTGGAAAGAGTTTATAATGCATCTGCGGTCCTTAAAGATTGCCTGGCTTCCTGTTTCTCTAGAGCTAGGGCTGTTATTAAATATAGCCTCCCACCAAATTCCAGTGACTAATCGCACACAAGCCTGAGTCCCAAACCAGCCGTGACTCAGATACCAAGGAGCCTCTGTGAGTAATGCTGCAGGAAGGGCCAACACGCTTCTTTCCTAGCCTTTCACAGGCAGTGGGAATGCTGAATAAGAGCAGACTAAATAGCAAGGATGATCCTTCAGCCAAAAAAAAGAAAGGTACCTGCAGTCTCTAGATGTTGTCTAGTGCTAATGCTGAGCTTTCAGGTGGCCCCAGCTGAAGCACAGTGAGTGTGCTGAGCACAGATGCCTTAAAGACCTGGGGCAGAACAACTTTTCGGTGGGCTGTCAGCTGGTTGACAGGGCAGCAGCAGAAGTTTCCACTATGAAAACGTCCTCCAGTTTAACCAGGCATTCAAGCACCTGGCAGAGGAGAGGCCAGGGTGATGCTGTTTGTTTAAACGGTGGTTGGAACATCCACCTGGAGCCGAGCTTTAGATGAGACTTAAGGGTCTTAGACTGAAGTTCTTTACAACTGAGCTTTGCTTTCCCCTTCTAAAGCCACTTATCTTGAATGACACTGTAGTTGGCCCGTTCAACCTGAGTCCACAGCATTTCTGCTTGCTGCAAATGCTTTTGAATGCTCCAATGTTTATTTTCTCTGATTGTCTATAGATAGTAAAAGACACATAGGTGAGAACGACTTAATTCAAAACCATTTGAATGCAAGAATGAGATTTTTAGAGTTTGTGGCAAGTTGCTGCGTTAATGAGCACAAGGAGTAACAACAATTAGCTTTCCAAAGCAACTGCAACCATTATGTTTCTTCCTTTTTATTTTGAGTCCTCCTTGTCAGTATCTTCATCTAGAAAATGCTTTCTTCTGAGAAATGTCTTCTGGCTTTTCAGAACTCAAAGTTTTAGAACAGAAAATAACAATAATAATAAACCTTTGTTTTATATTTCAGGATTTTCTTTAAGTAGATGCTGTCTTGAAAGCCTTAATTTAACACCATGTTCAGAGCTGAAGCTGGATGTGTAACTTCATGCTATGCTTATGAAGTCACAAAAGCATCTGGAAAACCTTAACGTAAAGCTTTCTATCATCCAGGCTTAATTTAAGTGTTAAGACTAAATCACTTTATGGGTTGTCAGTTGTGAATGTTAACTGTGTAGTTCTCAGTGCCTTGTTGGTGCTCTCACAATTGAATTGCAGCCATCGTGGGTATCATACAAATAAACTAGGGAGCAATCCCTGTGCAATGAGAATAGGTTTGTATGTTCAGTGTGGATTTCCAGGCACCCTCATCTTTTTACTACTCTCCTTTATCTTGTTGTAGTCTTCAACTTTGGAAAAACTGCAGTCTGTAGAGAATTTAAGGAAAACTTCCCTCTCTCCTTTCACAGACATCAGCGTGGTGGGGCAGATGCAGAATAGCACAGCTGTGCAGTCCCAAATGACTCATTTGCCACTGACTCGTCATTGTTTTAAATTACTTCTAGATAGTGGAAGGCAATAATCAATTGATAGTAATAAAACCTGAGACACCACCTGTTGTGCATTGTCCCAGGGTGAAGAGCTTCCCCCTGGCTCTATCTCTATTGCTGCTAAACCACCCGTTAGTTTATGGAATGGTGTATGATGTGGTGTATTAATGACTTGCCTTTATCATTTACCATTCCCCAGTCTTTCTCTTCGGTACAGTTGTCTTTTATGAAACTTTATTATGGTTTTTAAGCACTGTTTTTGGTGTCTGATATCTGGTTATACCTGCTCTGTTATAACTTGCCCAGCATGATGTCTCCAGCAGCAGCTATGAGAGGACACCACGAGCCAAAGCTCAGGTTGGTATATTTGATGCTTCCCCCTTGTCTCCTGATAACCAGCAATTTTTAGTTCAGGAACTGTTAGGATTAGATGTGATATCTGTGTATCACAAAGTATCAAACAGCTGTGCTGACAGCTACAGCTCGATCATTGCGTTGCTTGAGGTGATAATCAGTATGTTTTTATCAGTATAATTGTGCTTTCTGTGTTGCTTGGGTAGGAGAGCACTATTCTGGGAGAAACTGTTCCATGAAGCAGCAGCACTGTTGGCCATTCATCTCCAGGTACATACATACTTTTTTACTACTGTATCTCTGCCTGAGAATTTGTATTAGATATCACAAATACCCTTAGGAGAGAATATATTTCTGGGCTAAATAGGGAGGAAAAAAAAAAGATAAAGTTGATTTAGGTTTCTGATTAGTGTGATTTAATTCTATTTTCCCAGACAGCAGGGTCACAGCTGCTTAGTCCATGGTGGGAATTTACCCCCCTGTAGGTATTTCCAAGGAAGCCCTTGAAGTGAATTACTTGAAATGATGCGATGAAAAAGGAATGTGATAGCTACAACATTTATTTCTTCCTGCTTGCAAGGCCAAAAGAAACTGGAAAAGAGAGAATGCAAGCAAATGTACTGGAGTGTAACCCTAGTTGGATAGTAACTATATTCTTTATGTTGGGAAGCTTTCTGCTATCTGTGTGCTTCAGGATTGCCAGCAATATCTCATGTTCCCTGCATGTGCAAGCCATCCACTGCATTCGGTCTGGTGAATGAGATCCTCAGTAATCACTAGAGACAGACAGTAATGAAATGGTGTCAGTGTACACCAGCTCATCTTTGTATCTGCAGTTAGTCTCTGCTTCTGTTTCTTCTCTGAATCAGTGCTGGAATTGCTAGTCAGTGTAGGAGCTAATTAGCAGCACAAAACAGTTGCTTGGAGCAGTTATTTTCTCACTTTGCTGCTAGCATTGGAGAAGGTTGTGTTTTCTGCATTATCCAAGTAGCTCACAGTTTTGGAGTGTTTCAGCTTCTTGCAAATCAGATAAACAGTGGTGTAACTTTCTGTCTTCAGTTGTGCTCTGCAGGGAAAAGAGATCTTCAAACAGAACAAATACTTCCTAACAAGATGGGAAGCAACCTGGGATGCCTTCCAAAGATCACTGCCTGCAATTGAAGCCAGCTAATGACTGGAGGAGAGTTCCCAATATCCCCAAATCCCCTCATTAACCTTGGCTTGAGGGGGGAATTGCTGGACTGTAACAAGCAACAAGGACCCCAGCTTAGAATCTTCTGGTAAGCAGTACCTGTGAAGCTGCTGTGGGAGGATGGCTCGTATCTGAGCTGAAAGCAGGTCAGAAACAGGCAGAGCAGGACCCAGCAGCAGCCCCGTGGATGGCCTGGAGGAAGCAACTGAAAGCAAACCTTGGTTCTGTGCTGTTTCCAAGGATTGGCTAGGTCACCTCATCTGTTGATTTATGTGTCTCTTGAATAGTCTGCTCATCTGTTTGCATGAGGGGACTAACTGCCTTGGGATGAGAGCTGGAGAGTGCTTTTGGAAAAATAGGGGATAAGCATAAGCTGGATGAGGATAGTGCTGTCCCCCTGGCCTGGCAGATTTGTGCTATTGTGTGGGGTTGTTTTTTTTTCTCCATTAAGAGGAGAAATTGATTATATTATTTGGAGAGGTATTCCTTGGAAAAAAAAAATCGTGATTTACTTACCAAACATGCACACAATGTCCTGTTGCTATGATCTCAAGAGAAACAAACAGTTTCCTTGGTTAGAAATCTCCAGCTCTTCAGCAAGCTGTGCCCCTAAAGCTCTGTCTCTCTCCTTATACAGACATGCCTCCCACTTCTTCCCTTAGGTGCTCAGAAGACAAGTTGCCCTGCCTTTATCTAGGTCTGCGACTATCTGTGATCTCAGAATTGGTTGTTACCACCTTCTAAAGCAACTGTGTTTATGTCATGGGAAGACAGTGTTTTAGACCTGGAGTAAAATATTCCTACTGTTCTTTATTTTTGACTCTTCAGACTACGTACAGCGCTTTTCACGAGATGGTAGATTCTTCACCCTTTGTTGATTTTAGAATAATATCAAAAGATAGTCGTGGTGAAGGATAATTGGATTAATAACAGTGTTTGGTAGGATAATGTGGTGGTTCCTGCTGGCCTTATTTTCTGAGTTTATAGCTGGAGGACAGGCAGTGCCAAGACTGTGGAGGCAAGTAGCAAAGAGTGGAAGACAAGAAGAACATGGCACCAAACTGTGAGAGAGGCTATCCTACAGCAGGATTGGGGTAATGTTTCCAGGTAGAACCACATGTGCTGTCCACCGTGCCTCGGAGCACCATCATTGTGCAACTGATGTTCAGTGAAATGATGGTGTGAAGCTGGACCTTGCTCATTTCTCTTCTAAGGTCTGATAATGGTGAGAAATTCTATGCCGGCCACATCTCTCCTGGGGATTTCTTGGCTGTTTGTGTAATCCCTTCTTTGCTGGACCAGCTGATCTCCAGCAACATGGGGCTTTCCCTTCCTAGGGTGGCTACTGTTTGCTCTAGGATTTTTCAGCATATTTAGGCAGCAATGAGTCTGCTGCTTGCCTGGAAAGCTCTGATCTATTCTGTGCATACAAAGAGTTTGAATGGCATGCAGGCATCCCCCTGAGAGAGCTGGATTTCACTGAGCAGCCAGTAGCCATTGCAGGTCTGTCAGATGCTTCCTGAAATCTTTCACTAACAGAGGAAACCTCTAATGCATTTGAACTCTGCCTTGGGATAGGAAAGAAGCATAAATCCAAATAATGATGGCTATATATCTTTAAATCCCACAAAGCATAGGTTGCAACTGATTTGTATTCTGTGGTGTATATTTCTATTGCAGCCTTGCCTGAGCTGCAATGGAAGGAATATTGCTTTGTTATATTTACATTCACTTCTGTCAAATCAAGTGGGAATGCATTTGGGTCCCATACAACAGGTCAGCAGAGAGATGACTGAGTGACCAAGGTTTTACTCCCAGCTGAGTCAGTCACCCTGCCCAACTCACAGTGTATACAGTGTCTGTGGAAAGACTGATTTGTGCTGCCTTACTGGGAATTTGTTCCATGTTGCAAAATGGTGTTCTGGTGGCTTCACTTGTCTGCTGGGCGTTGTGATGTGAGCTGGGCCTTCAGCACTTCCAGTGTATGATGAGGAACAAGCAGTTTCTATCCTGATAATGTGATCTCTCTCTCTGTCCCCATCAGCAGTTGTCACGAACCATTTTTCCAAACTTCCCAGCATCGTCTGGATGGCATAGGAAATAGCTCCTTTACTGCTTGATAGGCCAGGGGGCCATTGGGCATGTTTAGCTGAGCCCAGCTCTTAGAGAAAGAAGCGACTTCCATTTCTCTGCTTTTGGGTCTGATTCCTGAGTCCCAACTGGAAAAATCACAGTCATAGAATTGTTCAGGTTGGAAAAATCCTCTAAGATCCCCAAGTCCAACCCCTGACCATGACCTCAGTGCCTCTTCATGGTTCTGGAACATCTCATGGAATGGTGACCCCACCACCTCCCCAGGCAGCCTGTTCCAATGTCTCACCACTCTTCCTGAGAAGAAATGCTTCCTAATATTTAACCTGAACCCCTCCCCTGACACAACCTGAGGCCACCAGCTCTTGTCCTGTCACTGTTGCCTGGGAGAAGAGTCTGACCCCTGCCTCACTACAACCTCCTCAAAAAGAAGTACAGTCAATTAGAATGGTTCTGTGTCCTCTGCATCATCTGGCTTGGCAAGATACTGAAGCTTTATTGGAAACTCCACTGAAGCCAACTTTAAGTTCTCCATTTCCTGAATGTACGACTGCAAAGACTGCAGCTGCTGAAGCAGGCAGAACACAGCTACATCTCCCTGTCCGTCTCCTGGCTCTGCATCTCTGTGTGGTAAAAATAGCCATATTTTACATCTATGGGAAGCATTAAGGATATAATCTCTTTGGAGTTCCTTTCAGCCAAGAGTAAGGAGATATGAAGAATTTGGCTGCTGTCCTCTGCTCCTGCACCACCCAGCCACCAATCATGGCTAATGCAACTCAGTGGCTACTGTATTTTTCATGGCCCTTCTGACAGTATGAGATTAGCAGGAACACAGCTGCTTCATACCCAGGCACGTGTCTGTCTTTCCCTGGCCAATCCCTTGATGATGTGTGGCTGTCGTGTTAAAGAGGGAAGGTAAAACTTATTTATAGGCAGTCTGAGCAGCACGTTATTCAAGGTCAGGTTGCCGGCCCATCTGATATTATTTAAGGGGTTAGATATCGCCAGTAAATGAAAATAAATACTGTTAATGTCCCTTCTGATCAGTGGAATTTAGCTGCTCTTCAGTTGATGTTTGGTTTTACAGCACAAGATACACTGGCTCTCAAGGGTCATGGCTTTAAGTGCTGGGAAAGCACCAATCTTGGGATTATGGTGATGCAAGCAGAAATAGGAGGCTAGCAAAACCAGCAGAGGGCCTTCACTTCTGTTACTTACCCTGAGTCTCTGTTAAATAGCCCTGCAGAAAACAGGGGCAAGGAGACAGTGCAGCAGTGTTAACATCAAGGGTTCCTCTTTTACCACAGTAGAGCCTTCTTTCCTCCTCATCTCAGCAGTCTCCGGAGAATTCTCTTTGCTGAAAAGAAATTGCATTCTCTTTCCTGTCTGTCTTGAGCCATTTGCTTTTGGCATTAACCGTCAAGCCCTGAATCACTCTTTGGGGATGTGTGCTGGAAAGCTGGTGGGAACTGATTGCATATCAGCAGCTGAGATGCAATACTTGGCTTTGCTCTTCTTGGGAATCACAGTGTACAGACCTGGACACCATCATGCACATAGCGTAAGAGACCAAGCACTCCTCGTGGGCTGAGTGCATCAAATCCTGGGGCATGAGGGAGATGAGAGGGAGAGATACTAACTCCTAAAGCTTTGGCTTCTTGCTCAGAGCAGAGAAAGGAATATAGAAAGAATGAATGTAGTTTGCTTTCCTTCGTCAATCAGAGCTGAAATTAACTATGGGGTATTTAACATTGAAGTGGAAGTGAGAGATGAGAAGCTGTAAGAGCAACTGGTTGAAAACTGTACCAAAGTCTTCTTCCCAAAGAGAAATGTGCAGGACTTCTTTGGTGTAAGGTCACTCCTCAGCAAGACCGCCAGGTGGGATGAAGATACAAGAGGCCAAGGCTTCTGACATCCTGCTGCAATGTGACAGAAAGAGGAGATGCCACAAGCAGGTGGGGAAAGCTGGCAGTGAAACAGGTCTCCCATCCAAACGTTACACTGCTTCCATTCTGGCTGCTCTGGGGTGTTTTGAGACTGTGAAACCAGAGCAGCACAGATGAGAAAATGAGGTAAAGCTCATAGTAACCATCTCAGAAATGTTCATGAAAGGGTCTTGTTTTCATCCCAGGTGAGAGAATGATCCCAAATATCCTTGATTCTTAGCTGATCCCAGCCCTTCATGGCATCTGGAAAGCCTTTAATCTAATGATACTGCTCTGAATCATTAGATGGATGATGCTAATTTAGTCTGCTCTCCAGGTCTGCTCAGCCTGTGTAGCTAGAAAGCTTATCCTGTCTCTGAATAATAAATTTTAAAAAACCACCTTCCCTAATAAATTTGTTAATAAAATGCATTTTATTTTTCTGACACAACAAGGTTTTTCCATGCGGTGAAAACTGAATCCAGAAAAACACAAGCAAGCACATCACAAGAATACAGATTAGTCAACAGTTAGAGCAGGCTCTTGGAGAAGGGCCTGGGATAAAGCAGCTTTTTATTTATTTAGCTATTTGTGATATGTTGGCTAATGATGTGCTAATAGCAGAGCTGTGTCTGTAATAACTGATTGGCTTTAAAATACCTCAGCAGGGCCAGGATCCTATTTGGGCTGAAGGGGCACTTGCAGTTTGCCAGTGAGGCAGACTTTGGGACTGTACCCAGCAGATCTGGGAAATCACAGCCATGGTCCAACAGAGCCCAGAAAGCACGTGCTTAATCCTACCCTTCCTCCAAAAAAACTTTATATATAGACAAAATGGAGCAGAAGGAATGTCGCTGCCATTGGAGAGAGGGGGAAAGGCTGAGTTGGCCAAGTCAGGCAGGAGGGCCATGTCAGCGCCAGGAGCTGAAATCACCCCTCCTGAGGACCATCTTTAATGTTACTGCCAGAAGAAGGCTTTTCTCTAACCAAGAGCTGGCCAGCCTGTGGTTCCTACCATGCAAGATCCCCCAGCTCAGTGAGCCCTGCCATTTGAATCACACTTCTCAGT